TGGGCGGCATACAAGCCAAATAAATAAATAAATAAATAAATAAATAAATAAATAAATAAAGTACTTTTACTGTGGTCTTGAGAAATTCCAAGCATTTTGGAGAAATCCAATCCTTTCATCTGCCTTCTTCAATTACTTTTGCATTAGGCACTTAAGGGTTGTTGTTTCTTTTCACCAATGAAGTCACATGAGACAAAGAATTTCACAAGGGTTGGAGAGAATATTTAAGAGAGATCTATTCCCAAAAGTACACTTACTTTTTCAGAGGGCACATATCCATCTATCCTATGGTCTTTGGTTTATCAGCATTTTTGGGTATTAGGATCATTGATATTCTGTGGGAACAACAACCCTTTTGTTTAGTGATAGTAAAACCTTGGTTTACTTGATCTGCTGTTGAGCTGTCTTGGTGATAGGCTCTCTTCTAATCTTGGTCCAAGATGTCTGGAGCTTCCAAGGATCCATAAAGACATGTCTTTTCAGGAGAGAGCTTGGGATGATTAGGATTACCTCACCCTACCATTTTGTGGCTGATCAAGTTGATATTGTTTGATATGGACATGATTGACAATAGTCATGCTTTAAGCCAATTTATTGGTAGATGTAAGGTGCTCAAAAGCTTCTGGAATGGAAAGGAATAGAAACCAAAGAAAGCAAATAAGTATGTAAATAAATAAATAAATAAATAAATAAATAAATAAATAAATATTCACTTTTATCATAAAGGTCTAGGTCTTATCTAATTTTTGATAAGTGCAAATATCTTCCAGAGCTCTATGAGTGGGAAGCCATAAAATTTTAGACTATGAATATTAAGAAATAAATAAAGCTCTCTACACACCATTTCCCACTTTTCACAAAATGCTTTAATCCCAGTGACTAACAACTGTTTGGTCAGATGGAGAAACTAATATGGAAGGCAAGAATTGTCTCAGAATGGAACATGTTAGAGCTTTCTAACCATTTTTTCTGATCAACCAATATTGAACAAGCTTGCCTTATTCCCCCTAGATTGTGTCCTGAGGTTTAACATTATTATGTCTTAGTATATTTTCACAGAACTGGATCACTGCATTTTAATTTCCTAAAGTCATATGTGGTTTCTTTTCTTTCTAGGATGCATACAAAGAAAGAATATATTCTACAGAACAGCACAACACCAACTAAATTCATCCTCGTGGGTCTTTCTGATGAGCCCCACTTACAAAGCATATTCTTCTCCAGTTTTTTGGGAATCTATGTTATCACTTTGAGTGGAAACCTTCTAATTATCCTCCTTACATTAGCTGACCCAACCCTACACACACTATGTTATCACTTTGAGTGGAAACCTTCTAATTATCCTCCTTACATTAGCTGACCCAACCCTACACACACCCATGTATTTTTTTCTAAGAAATCTAGCCTTCCTTGAGATTTGTTTTACATCAGTCACTATCCCCAAGATGCTTGACAATCTCTATTCTGGGAATAAATCCATCTCCTTTATGGGCTGTGCTCTGCAGACCTATTTTTCATTCTTTCTTGGTGGAACAGAATGTTTCCTTTTGGCCTCAATGGCCTATGATCGTTATGTGGCCATCTGTAAGCCTCTGCATTACCCTGTCCTGATGGGTCAAAGAGTTTATGCCAGTTTAGCTCTAGCCTCTTGGTTAAATGGGTTTTTCATGTCTTTTGTTCTCACTAGTATGGTGTTCAGAATGCCCTTCTGTGGTTCCAATGTCATCAACCACTTCTTTTGTGACATCCCCCCTTTACTAAAACTGGCTTGTGGGAACATTTCTATGACTGAAATAGCTGTTTTTGTGGTGGCAGTTCTTTATGTTACTTTGCCTTTTATTCTGATCTTAATATCTTATTCTGGGATCATTGTTGCCATTTTGAAGATTTCTTCCTCTGAGGGCCGGAAGAAGACTTTCTCTACTTGCTCCTCACATCTCATTGTTGTGACCTTATTCTTTGGTTCTAGTTCTATCATG